TCTCGGAAAAGAACTCCTTTTTATGTGATAAAATAGGTCTCTTCGGATATGTCACGATGCCACTTTACTAGAATACTATCTATTTTGTCACTATATTCTTCGTCAAGATTATATTAAATATATTACGTTTTCCGTTACACTACCAAATATATCAGAGCACCCGAAAAATCGAGAGAACCAAGAATTTACCAAACGTTTCAGTAATAATAGTATTTTCGGGATTTTAAAATTCTGTTGCTTATTTGGGTTAGAAAAATTATTTCATGGTATCTTAATAAGATACAAATCCATATATTAACTTTTCAATGTCTTTAAAAACATAAATTTGAAATCTTTGAATCCCAATCTAAACTAAAAGGTTTCCATTTGTAACACACGCAGTTAGATCAGAGAATCATTTAATTTAATATAATTTTAAATTGGTATCCAACTGTTTTATAATAGAACAAAAATTTATTTACCTTGTCACAGTATCTTATTTGTCACTGGTCCATTCTACTGGCACAAAGAATAACTATGGCATCTACTGACAAAGAGCATCCTTAAAAAACTACAAATAAAAGCAATAGCAAGCAATAAAATCGTTTACTGACACTTATATGATCCTTTATTACTGGTTATTATAAATTTTAACTCATGGGAATCTACAATTTTAGGTCCTCTCCCAATGATAAAAAATTGAAGAAGAATTCAGTACACACCCCTATAAATCTTTTTCAACATTGCATCCACCCTCCATATTTTTTATTTGGCAGCAAAAAATATTATAACAAAACGCAACAGAAAGGGTTGACCTACTTAAAAAAGTTTATATCTATACCAAGCTTCCTTTCAATGCAGCTAAACCGTAGGGTGTAATATTTCCAAATCAGATCCAAATAAAATTTAACGTGGGTTATGGTAGACGTAGTTATTCTACCCCTCTTGTTACGACCCCTTGTTGACCTCGTTAATGGTGCTACACAAGGGTCCCCCTTGTACTATTTTGTCCTAACTAGGACAGGAAACATTTAATGAGGTATTAAATAGACTTATCGCTAATCGCTTAGGGTTATTACTGATAGAAAAACTTTACGAGTTTTGTACGTTCTGTACGGCTGAGCCACATAAAAATTAATAGACGTTTTATTCTATTATGTTTACGTATAATGGACGTATACCGCAATAAAGACGGTTTGTGATTATTATATTATAAAATATGAATGCAGAAAATTCAGTTATATTACCTAGTAATAAAACGATAACTATTTTCAACGTTTTATATCTCTCATAATAAATAATATAAAAGAGTTAATACCTATTTCATACTTCATTATTATCAGATTTGCTATTTCTATTTCTAAGTGTAAAAGTGTATAGGGTGTTTTTATTTGGTGGACAAGTACAATCGATTTATTTATTTAATTTTATCTTAGTCTAAAGGAACATGATACTTTTTTTAAATAAAATAGATACGTAAAACCCTTAAATACATTATTGGATTCAAGGTGCTCCCTTTATTTAAATAAATGTTTAAAATATGCTTACACCTTATTTTAATTTCAGTACCAAGAAACCTGAGGAATAAGAAGTTATGTTTTCATACTTTGTTATTACAAGGATATTAGTTACATTTGAAACGTAATCTTTGAAATGTAATACCTCTCAACGTCAGAGAATACAAATTTTTGTAAATAATTGATGAAGTCGACGAACATATGAATTGTAAATGAGATAAATAAAAAATGCTAAATAAAAATTGGCAAAAGAAAAATTAAACATATTGTTCAAAATTTCACATTTATGAAATTTTCTGTTTTTTGTTTAAGCCTTTTATCGCGATTATAGCTTTTTTACATTTAATATAATTTGACCATTTTTACAATTGAAAGCTTCAAAAAAAAGAAAGTATATTTTAATTTGAACTAGAATTAAACTTAAAAATTTGTATTCGCTAATACGAAAATGAATAAACATAAATATTCATCAAAATTATTCAAGACTTTTGTTTTTATGGACAGTAATCACGAATTGACAGTAATCAATATTTTGTAATTATACACCATTATACATATTTTAAAAANTGAAGTACCACTTCAATCTCCACATAATCCTGATCTGACATCAGCTTTCAGTCTATTAAATCATCCTTTGTGTACTTATCGGTGGAAAATAGGAAATATTCGAGTAAAAGCAATAAATTCTAAAGGCTCGGTGATGACTGTTGCTAAAAATTCGCCGATTTGACAAGGGAAAACAATGGCTGGCTTGCCACAGTCCCCGGCATATGGCTTCGAGTCTCCCCCTACCCCCTCGCTTTAATGAGCCAACTGTTGCATACCACGCGTTTAATAAGAAAAGAAAGAGGTTCACCTGTACGACGTTCCGACTCCCTATAATTTCGATGCGACATATGTTGCATCCGTTACGCATCATAGCTTGGGAAATAAAGAAACGAGGACGAATAACGTTCTTTTTCACCACGAAAATCGTCTTTACGGGCCGGAAGTGTTATTTCGCATTACATTTATCGGAAGTCATCATCGAGGGGTTAAAACGCAACGTTTATAGTCCATTAGATGTTTTACATTTTTATAAATTATTTATTCGGTCGGTTTTTTTTTTTTGACTCGCACCTTTCCTGGATTAGTTAATATTCGGCTATTAATTCAACAGTTTCGTGCTATCGGTAGATCCAACCTCAAGTTTCATTGGCTTTGTCAAAATTGTCGCGGCAATATGCTAAACGTTTAAGTTCGCCTACAGGGCATCCCAAATAAGGTACCTGCAACAATGATGTTCGTGCTAACTTTAAGTCTATAATTTACAGATATAATCAATAAAAATGGCTTAATTTTCGTATAAACAATGTTTGGTCCCTTGTTGAGAACATACAAAATTAACAACCAACAAACATTAAGACAACATATGAAAGAGGGTATCCATCAGATGACTAGAGTTCTTTTAAAAAAATTCTGTATCACGCTTTAGCTTACCTGCATCTAAATTTCGTTGATAACTCTCGGAATTTCTGCTTTTAATTCACAAATGGTATTCATTTGACCAGAATAAACTGTGGATTTCACCGTAGCAATAGTTCAGCTGAAGGGCCAGTACGAGGCCGGCCTGATTTTTTTATCATTTGCAACCGAACCTGTTTATTCAATAGCAACTAATTTATTCACAGTTGTTTCATTCGAGGCGTTCCTTCTACAGAAAATTCCACGTAATTTGCGCACAGTCTCAGCTACACACTCTCCGTATTTGTATTGAATTCGCACAATATTTACTCGCCCATGCGCGACGTGTTTACAAACATGTGATCCTGTACAGTGCTGCCAACTCTTCGAAACGAAAATGGCGCACAATTCAAATCCTGTGTTAGATTTGGGACACCCATTGTCAGGGGTTTCATCATTTTTATAACAAAACAATACCAACTTGTCTAGGCCGTAGTTTTCTTGTTTTATTGAAAGTTTAATTCATCTCTTTCCGCGACACAATGTAGCAGCAACGTTATGCTCTGTTTTTTGAGCTGTTTTTAGAAAATAACTGCATCAAAGGCTTGAAAATGCTTTCTAAAGAATAAATAAAAATACAAATTTCTACCATTAGAAACCATTTTTCCCAGTAAAATAGCTTTGAATGGGAATTTTATGGAAGCTATCTTTGACTGTTAGAATCATGGTTTTTTTCTGAAAATTCCGTCATAAAAACTTTTTTTCTTTTATAAACCTTCTTTTCATAATTTTATACCGGCTACTGTAACCTCAAACTCTAACCGTAACTATACAGATTACATAGTCAAATCTCATTTTTCTTGTTACGTACACTGAAAAAAAGTATTTGGATCAAATGAGCACATAGTTGGAATTATTTGTCGTAAATGTTATTTTATTCTATTCAAATGTATATACTTTCGTCAAACTATGTGAAATATTTGCTGTAATCTATATTTTTTTTTAGAATTTATATCATTTGTAAATATATATAATTTAATTCAAATCTTTTAAAATTTTAAAATTTATTATCTGGGACTTTAGTCACAATATCTCTTACAGTTTGGTTTATAAACTGCAAACATATTTGTTTCAAAACTACCCGTTCCTTAAAATATATATACCTATTTAAAATTTAGTATTAATGTAGGAATTATTCAAGATAAATGTAGCATATTATAATCAAACTTATGTTTTCTTGAAAGAAAATTGTAGCAGGTCACAGAATGGCGTAGGTGTAAGGACCATCAATAAGTCCCAAACCGACCTATGTATGATTGGTTAAACTTACGAACGATTCTAGTTGTTGTACTAGGTGTTGTGAGTTTGAGACAAAATATTTTTTATTACTGAGCAATACATATATCCAAATATATTCTTAAAATAAGTATAAACATACAATCATTTGTTCAAAACTATTCAATTTTGTACCGTAAGTATCAAATATTTATTTTAAATGCTGCCTATTTTTAAAGTCAGAAATTATATTTCTGGGCAGAAATTTAAAGAACCTATTTAAATAAATAAATAATTTTCTTGAAAGAAGAAAATATTTTCCTCAAATGTTGTACGATAATTTTTTTGCGGGTTACATACTTTTTTCACAATAGTACTCAGAAATATTGTTTAAATAAGCAAATTATATCATATATATTGATTTCATGTAAAAAATGATCATTTCGGGTTAGTATTATATAAAAAACTGACCCCCAGTTAAAGTTGTATGTATATATACTTAAATATTTGAAGTTTTACGACATAGGGCAGGTTTATTCACGTTTGCCACAAAAACGAGACAAAGAAACAATGCATTGTAAGGCAAAATGTGCTGTATAATCAACATGTGACGAAGAATTTATCAAGAGACGTGATCAAAATGCAAGAAGCAGTTGCGTGTATTAAATTTCGAACGACTATAAACATTTTATATATTTTTTAAACAGCTAGGGCTATATAAGGCAAACCATACATGAACTATTAATTGGACTAAACGATATTTAATAATATTTTCTTTTGTTCTAGATACCCCTTCAACGATTCCGAGCACGCATCTTTATTCGCCAAGATATCCAGAGGTCACTTCGTCATCCCAGAGTGTCTTTCATCCAGGGCCAGATGTCTCATCCGATCCCTTTTAAGGAGAGAGCCTTCCGAGCGGCTCACATCAGAAGACATCCTCTACCACCCCTGGCTGGCCAAGGAGGACAGAGACTGGTCCTCCAGGGCCTGCGACCAGCTGGTGCCCGAATGTAGCTTCTACGACTAGTTCCAAAAATTTTCGAAGAAATTTTCGGGACGACGTGCAAACAATGTGCTGTGTTCTAGTTTTTAAGGAAACTGAAGCCATTCACCTAGATTCTAAGTACCTAAATATTGTGGTATTGTTATACGTTGTTGTTTATCACATTTAGACGGGTTTCGCAACAAGAGTTTTTAGCCTGTTTTTATTTATTCGTTTTGTTGTTTTTCCCCTTGTGTATATCTCCGCTTAAAAGCTTTTGTTGCCTCATCTCTACTTCAAGTACATTTTTTCGCTGATATTATCGTTTTAAATTCAATCTCATGGTTACTTGTTTACGTACGATTGGTTTGGACTGAATGAGTTCGAAAGCATCACGGTGTAATTTTAGGAAATAAAAGACAAAGACTGAATTGTTAGTTCTGTTAATTAATTTATCTTGGGTTGGTAAGGGGGTGACGAAGTTCGAAATCAAGTCGGCCACATTTATTTTGCATTACTTCGTTTATTTTTTTTTATTTCTCAATATAATTCGACTATACTTTACACCCACGTCGAGCGCCAAACGTAAAGTGAATCCTTTCTCTCGATATCGGGTCAATGTCGATTTATGTTGCGAAAATAAGTATATATTTCAAATCCCGGCATATCACAAGCAAATAACTAATAGAACAACTTTTACAAATAACATCTTCGAGGTTGCCCAGGCTGAGGTTCGACACGCAACCGATACGTTGTCGGTACGTTGCGACGTCCAGAAAAATGTCAATAAATAAATGTTGCCGATTTAATTCCTGCGAAAAGTTAAGGGCCAAATCGTTATGTTTATTATTTCGTGTGTCGTTCACTGCCAGATGAGTTTGTTAATTTTGTTACTGACCAGATAATAAACATAATTTTCTATCCGAACTTACCTTAACAATGCCATTTTATTTATCTTTAAAGTGTAATTAGTTTATACATGTACAGTTTTAATTATTATCGATGTCGTGATGCTCTAGACGGAATTATTAGTATTGTGATCTCTCGGTCAGGTTCGCGAAAATTTGACCCCACTGTATATTTTTTGAACTGATCATGTACATAACGTCGTTGTATATTTCGTTTCCTAAATTATGTGTAAGATTGTTAGTTGGATATCGTGTAAGTCAGTGTACATAGCTTCGCATTTGTGAGAGAAGATCATCGTTAGTATGTTATGCTGTTGTTCATAATAAACAATTTTTATATTAATCCTTTGTTTTATTATATTTCCTTACATATACCCAAGCAGAATTTAAAAAAGTGGAATACCTAAAATATGAAAATCCAGAGTTTTACCTATAGTGAATAATGTCATTAATACGCGCCAAGAATAATAAAAGGGCCCAAATAAGACCCACGGGGGACGCCTGAAATAATGCACAACGATAAGGATCAGTCAGTAGGGTGCTCTATTATCCTTGAAGGAATGTAATATAATATTCTCACACATATAATTGAAGATTGAACTTTACAAGGTTAATCTTTATCTGCCTTTAATATGTTTATTTGTGTACAAGCAATAAAAATAGCATTCAAAACAAAGTTAAATACAATAAAGATCTAATAGATTAGATATCTTGAACATTAAATATGTACATTTCAATCTAAAACAAAAAATGTATCACATCAGGACTTTAAACAAAGCACAGGGTATTAAAAAAAAACAATCCAGTTGCTACAGTGTGTTTTCTTGAGAAGAGTAAAATCGCAATTGAGGGTTTAGACCACTAGAAAAAATATATTTGTTCAAATATCTCTGAAGATGTTCGATTTAGATAGACGAAACTTCGAGCGATATAATTAATTAAAAGCAACATTTCGTTAAGATGGTATAGATTCCAACCAGTGCAGCAGAGATACTGTTCCTAATTACCCTACAATTTCAATTCTACTGAAAATTTTTAAAATTGGTTAAATGCATTTATTTTTCTAAGAAAAAAATATAAAACAACTCATTCTTCCAGTAAAATGGAAGACAAAAATGTACATATCCAATTTCCAAATTACTCAGTGGCGTCGAAATTCAGGTGTTCTTAACAGTGTCCAATGTGATAAAAATGTATACCAATTCAATGAAATTTTATTTTTAAATTTATAGTCCAAGTTTCGCCAATCGGTGTTTTTTCGTCAACTTTTCAGATATATTTGAAAGCCTCTTTTTCAGTTGTTTTTGCAGGAACAAGAAACAATTGTTTCTGAATTGTTTCTAGCTTTAATTATGTTTTAATACATATATACACAAAAGAAATTATAGAAATTATTAAAACATAGGTATAGTCTTTCCGATCTCAATTGAAGAACCAAGAGGTTGGCAGTATGTACCAGGTTCAGTCGTTAACGCAGCAACTCGGCATTGAAATATTTGAAAAACTTGTTCCCATATTTATTTAGCCATACCCATTTACGAATTAAACGTGGTAGAAATATATACGCTCAGTTGAAGAATGCGCGCTCGGGCAAACGGCGTACACAGACAGCCGAACTGGACGATTAGGCAATAAATCTCAGCTGTTGACAAGTGGTTGACAAATTGTCTAACAGTGCAGTGCAGCAATGCGGAATTTGGCGTGATTCAGGTAATTTTAATTTATTATAGGCACCTTCTATTAATCATTCATATTACGATTGCTAAAGAGAGAAATAAGTGGGATATTTTGTTTACTAATATTATTACAACATGGCATTTTGGAGACCTTTTGAAACAGCACAAAACGAAATTTACCATCAATATAATAAAATTGTTTGAGGACATAAATAATTAAAATACGTTGTTAACCAAATGAACATATAATAGAAATTTTCTACACATTATATACAAATTATTACAATTTTTAACCTTTAGCAGAAAACTTTTTTAGGGGCGCTTATGAATCTTATTACATTTTATTGCTAGGCGTTTCTATACATGCTCAACTGACTTCGGAAAAACTATAACTTACCAGTTCTTGCAAAATTATACGAATTGAATAACATTTGTTGCTTTGTTGCTTATATAAAATAGTAAAACACCTATTTATAAACAGAACAATCAGTAACGAGGCTTTCAGTCTGAAGATGTTGGAAATTGTCCTATGAGATGGAATTAGCCTGTATAACATAAAATTGTGTTAATTTTGCCAAGCATTGAAATTAAGGGCGCCGTATTCTTTAATATAAATAGTGTTTTCCACATAATTTCAAACATTTAATAACTGAATAATCTAAAGCTTATCAAATAATAGGAATGTTATGTCATACCACCTGGGTATTTTCAAAGACGCCGCAATAAAACGAATAAACAGGTGCAAAAAGCGATCAAACCATCAAGGTTTTAGGTACTGAAATCTATAAAAATACTAACTTTTTTATACAGCGTGGTAAAAAAGTTCTGCATAAAATTAATATTTTCGTTAAACAATTTTTTTTTCGAGAAACGGTGAGTCCCGTCGATTTTTATTTGATCCAGGGCACCTTGTTATGTGGAAAAATTTTTTTTCGATAATCCACTTACGGCAGCGATGACATAATTTTTTTTTAAATGACAACGCATATTTTTTTCGTTCGAAATTGATGACAGTGATAATTATCTAAACAACGGTGTGAAAATTTCGATGTCTTACATAACAATTTTTTTTAGAAAAATGCACCTTAAGTTCTTATAAGTGATAANTGATCTAAATTAATTAAAGAACAATCTCCAGAATTTATAACATACGAATCATCCTGTATATTAATCAAGAATTTGTACAACAAATTAAGTTCTATTTTAACCATTATACTTAATGAAGTCAATCTTTTGCGCCCACACTTGCGGACTGATACCAATTTTTTGTTTCCGGTACATTAAGGAAAGCATTAGGGTTGCAACCATTAAAATTTCAGGCGTACATCACCGAAAGATTTACCCCCTGGCACTGAAGCAACAACACGTGTCAACCGACAGCACGCTTAAGGGCCCAAAATCACTTAGGCTGTTTCCTCAAAAATGATATATGGGGTTGAAACCCGACGCGGCATGAAAGGTCAGCGATATGTAATCGCAGTCCATCTATCTGTGCCTCAGCCAGATGGTAGTCGTCGCTCTTAACACGGCCTACTATTTTTACACAAGACAAAGCACGTTATGACGGCAGACAAATGCTCCCGATACCAATCTGCACTTGTACAATATTTGCATAGTCATTTGTACGAGCAGGAACTAAGAAAAGCTGCACAATGACGTTGAATTGAGAAAAATCGCGATGTTTTCGCTGAGACAATTGCTCGTAAGGTAAAAACAAACAGCCTTTCTTATCGATAACTGTTTGAAAATAAAGTTAGGTTGTTCACCCAGTCATGTGTTGAGGTGCATTCAATGTTGTATGTAAATAAATATATAAATGTACTCATCGTCGTTGCTTGATAAGTTACTTACGATAGCTGTGAGACTACAAGAAAACGGAAACCATTACAATTTACAGTATTAAAGCGCACATTTACCATTATTTCTTATTTACCGTATCTCGAAGTAGGATGATTATTGCAAAAACAAACTGGTAGGATAGGTAATAAATATATAATTTCATTATTTTTTTTTTACTATTTTTATGATAAACTATGAGCTTATTTCGATGGCAGAACATTAAATTCTATTACCGTTAAAGGTGCCTTACCCTCTTCCACAAACATATCCAATTTTAAATAGATTTCGCTGTTTGCCTTCCATTGACTTGCAGTAAGCCTTCTGGCAGATTCCGTTGTAAAAGTCTTCTCGGGAAAGAACTCATTTTTACGTGATAAAATGGGTCTCTTCGGATATGTCACGATGCCACTTTACTAGAATACTATCTATTTTGTCACTATATTCTTCGTCAAGATTATATTAAATATATTACGTTTTCCGTTACACTACCAAATAATATATCAGAGCACCCGAAAAATCGAGAGAACCAAGAATTTACCAAACGTTTCAGTAATAATAGCATTTTCGGGATTTTAAAATTCTGTTGCTTATTTGGGTTAGAAAAATTATTTCATGGTATCTTAATAAGATACAAATCCATATATTAACTTTTCAATGTCTTTAAAAACATAAATTTGAAATCTTTGAATCCCAATCTAAACTAAAAGGTTTCTATTTGTAACACACGCAGTTAAATCAGAGAATCATTTAATTTAATATAATTTTAAATTGGTATCCAACTGTTTTATAATAGAACAAAAATTTATTTACCTTGTCACAGTATCTTATTTGTCACTGGTCCATTCTACTGGCACAAAGAATAACTATGGCATCTACTGACAAAGAGCATCCTTAAAAAACTACAAATAAAAGCAATAGCAAGCAATAAAATCGTTTACTGACACTTATATGATCCTTTATTACTTGTTATTATAAATTTTAACTCATGGGAATCTACAATTTTAGGTCCTCTCCCAATGATAAAAAATTGAAGAAGAATTCAGTACACACCCCTATAAATCTTTTTCAACATTGCATCCACCCTCCATATTTTTTATTTGGCAGCAAAAAATATTATAACAAAACGCAACAGAAAGGGTTGACCTACTTAAAAAAGTTTATATCTGTAATATTTCCAAATCAGATCCAAATAAAATTTAACGTGGGTTATGGTAGACGTAGTTATTCTACCCCTCTTGTTACGACCCCTTGTTGACCTCGTTAATGGTGCTACACAAGGGTCCCCCTTGTACTATTTTGTCCTAACTAGGACAGGAAACATTTAATGAGGTATTAAATAGACTTATCGCTAATCGCTTAGGGTTATTACTGATAGAAAAACTTTACGAGTTTTGTACGTTCTGTACGGCTGAGCCACATAAAAATTAATAGACGTTTTATTCTATTATGTTTACGTATAATGGACGTATACCGCAATAAAGACGGTTTGTGATTATTATATTATAAAATATGAATGCAGAAAATTCAGTTATATTACCTAGTAATAAAACGATAACTATTTTCAACGTTTTATATCTCTCATAATAAATAATATAAAAGAGTTAATACCTATTTCATACTTCATTATTATCAGATTTGCTATTTCTATTTCTAAGTGTAAAAGTGTATAGGGTGTTTTTATTTGGTGGACAAGTACAATCGATTTATTTATTTAATTTTATCTTAGTCTAAAGGAACATGATACTTTTTTTAAATAAAATAGATACGTAAAACCCTTAAATACATTATTGGATTCAAGGTGCTCCCTTTATTTAAATAAATTTTTAAA